CTCATATACCACTGGAGCTGTCCGCTACTTGAAGGACACCACAAATTTCTTACACAAACTAGGCTTCACTGGCAAGCTTCCAGCAAACCAAGTACTAGTTACCTTGGATGTCACATCTCTGCACACCAACAGCCCCCACAAGGATGGATTACAGGCCATAAGAAACATTATCCCAGATGCTGCTGCTCGTTTCTATCACACTCCTGTTCTGTCTTCACACACAACTTTCCAATTTGGAGAATCCCTAACAGCTACAAATGAATGGTACTATCATGAGCACACATATGGTGCCCCAATATGCCAAACCTTGAACTCTTGTTGCCTCTGCAAGTGGCCTCTCCCCACCGGGCGTACCCGAGTGACACTGATGGCATCATCGTAGGGACACGTGGGAAGAAATCTCCAGAGAAATTCCACCTGGACTTTAACAGCTTCCACCCTCCCTCACACTGGCTCCAGGATACTTCACTGAGCAAACTCATTTCTTGGACACCGCTGTGAAACTTTGCAAGGGCCAAATCACCATCACATTGCATCAGAAACCAAGTGACCGCTACAACTACCTCCAGACCACCAGCTTCCACCCGAAGCACACAACTAGAGCCAAGCTCTACACTACAACTGGATCTGTTCTGATCAGGATGCATGCCGTAAAGATCGGAAGTGGGGACTCCTACACTTACAAGACCTCCAGCCTGTCCTGGAAAGTGACAACCATCTTCAAGGCAGTCTTGGGTACAAGCCTATCCTGGCTTATGGGCAGCCCCCGCAACCTAAAAACAGCATCTCTCCAGCAATAGGCTGCTTCATTTCTATTCTCACCAAGCCATAAGGCAAGGCAAGGCAATGCAATGCCCCTTCATCAAGACAGACCACATCATCACTAGACCAAACACAACTATGACATCTGAGATCCATTCACCTGCTCCTCTACCAACGTCACACCTGCCATCACCTGCTTCCAGTGTTCCCCTGCAGTTCACCTTGGACAGACAGGCCAATCCCTACATGAAAAAAAAAGGAGCAGACACCGATGTGACATCAATTCTAAAAAGACACAAAAGTGGGACACTTCAACCTCTCTAGACACCCCAGCACTGATCTCTCTCAGAGTGGCTGCTCTTAAAACTTTCAAAACCAAACTCGAACGTGAGACTGCATAACAAGAAATCATCTATGGACTAAGGTGCATTAAGAAGGGTCTCAACGGGGACTATGGATTCTTACCCCATTACCTTAACTAGGCTTTATAACCCTTCTTTCCCTCAGTGGGTTAACTGCTTTGTTTCTTCCTTTTGAGCTCTTCAACCCACCTTTGCCCCACTCAGCGGTGCCCCCTTCTTCACTTCTCCTTTCCCTATGCATTGCATCTAAAGGACTTTATTCCTTTCTATTCATACCCTGCTCTCCACATGACCATTCAAAGCATCTGGCTCTACTTAGGATCAGACCAATTGTCATATTTTGGGTCAGTAAGGAATTTTACCCCATGGTCTGACTGGTATAGGCTAGGGGCGGGGGGTTCCCTCCTCTGAAGCAAGGGGTATGGATCCCTTCCTTGGATCTCTCGAGCATTTTTTTCTTTCTTTATTTTTAACAGCCTTGGACGCAGAAGGAAGATCTAGGTTTCATGGTCGTGTCAGGGTTGACTGTGTAGTTTTGCCAATAGGTTAGACAATGGATTTGTGCAGGATGGTCTGGACAGGGACTGACCCAGACGTGACCCATGGAGGTCCCTTCCATCCCCATTTCTCCAATTAGGGAAGCTATGCTTCTCTGCACAATTTAGCCTAAGAGGTGCCACACTGCCCTGCCTTCTCCCTCCATCACACTTTCACTTGCATTTTGCCACTTCACTGATCTTTCCCAGAACATGCATTTAATACAGGATCTCACCTGGAGCACTGTGGCCCCCGCAGCACACCTTTTACCAGAACAAATATCGACTAAGTCCACTCTCTGCTTTCCGTCTCCAAGATAGTTACTGGCTCTCGACAACATCCACATCTCATCCCATAACTAACTCTTCCGTAGCCTCTTGCGGGGGACCTTCTCAGTGCCTAAATAATCTACCAGCTCTCCTTTATCAACTACTCTATGGACATGATCAAAAAAAAACCCCCCACAGGACATTAGCAAGGATTTCTTTCCTTTGCAAAAGCTGCTTGTTAGACCATCATATCATTACCTTCCACATGGTGCTACTCTGTTTTTAATCATCACTTTAGCTCATTTGGCAGGTACAAATGCAGGGCTTCCATGTCTTTAATCCCTCAGCTCACCCGCAGCACTTTTCAAAACCCTAAGAACAACGATGCTTGCTACCCTACAGTCCTCTGGAAAAGCGGTTAGTTATAATGAGACGCTGAATCTCTTGCTAGCGGGTCAGTGACTTCATTTCTAGGCTCCACCACAACTTCTGGATGGCCCAGCTGGGACGAGGAACTAACTGAATGTTAAATTACCAACGTGCACCTTTTCTGATATCTCAGCCTCTGAAAATGTCTTACCTTTATCCTCAGAAAAGAATCGGTCCAAAGGCAAGAATCTCCTCAGCACTGAAGAACAAAGCAATGAACTCATTCGCTGCCTTGGCAACATGTATCTCCATCATTTTTCCCTTTTACCCATGATGTTAATCCACTGATTCTTTCTGGCTTTCTACTTCTGATAAGCAATTTGTCCCCCATGTTTACCTATCTGCTTTTCAAACTCCACAGTGGCACCCGAGTTGTCATCCTCCCTGTTGCCCGCTGTAAATTTTTGGCGTTTACTGGTTTCCTGTGGGTTAGATTCCTTTACCTGAAGAGCTCCAATAGCCTTTCATACTTAAGACTCTGCTACCCCATCCCAAACACTACAGTATCACTGTAATGGAGCATGGATTGATTGGCCCATTATTGCAGAATACAGTAGCACATTTTGTAAGCGTGATTCAAAAGTTTTTTTGGGGGTTTTTTTTGGAACTGGCTGGATTTTTTTTTCATTGCAAAGTAACAGATACGTGGTGCTCTCTGATCTTTTCTACTGGACATCTTACTTGTTCAGAGAATTGGGATGAAAAAGCTAGGAGAGCAGTTGGGGAGCAGCACTGGACTCCAGACAGGGGAGGATGCTTCTGTTCTACTGCATGGAAAAAGTCATGCATCACTTGGATCATTGCAGCTGACCTGACAAAGGAGTCACTTTAACTGCTGCAAGAGACGACCAGAAGCAGGACGGCTGCGGCAGGAGTCTGACGGACCGTTCTGTTACTGAAGATCAGTCTCTGCTACACACGCTGTGATGCTCCCGACATTGGGAGCCATCGTGGTCTCCTACCTCCTCTCCTCGTATCCAGCCTCACCAAGTCTAGTCACTTCACTCTTCAAACTGTTCCAAAATCTGCTTTCCTTCAGTGCCTCACACTCATTCACACTTCAACTACTACAACTTCATCACCGTCCATGCTCCCACCCCATTCACTAACCCTCCCTCTATTATACCTCTTCATTCTTACATTTGAACATGGGATGTCTAATAACAGACTCCCTTCCGGCTGTTCTGACCATATCACCAACACCCAAGGCCCATAACCTCAGATTTCAAGGTCTTTGAAGGGGACCTGCAAAGGATGTAGATCCCCTAATTTGCTTGTTTATGATGTATAAAAACTGCTTGGGAATTTGCTCTTTCTATTGAGGGGTGTTCTTTTACCCCACCCTTTTTCTAGTTTTGGAGATGGATTTTTCGTGGAATCTGAGAGAAGGTGAGGGAACCAATGGAGTCTCCCAACTGCTCTTTTAGGCACTGGAGTTTACACAGCTGATTAGAAAGTCCTCAGCAAATCCTCACAAAAAACTTGCAAATCCTCAGCAGTAGCTGCCTACAAACCAGAACATCCTCCAGGAAATTCAATTGGTAGAAGCTTGCCTTCACTCACTGCAAGGAAGCAAAGTAGCAAGAGGCACAGCTCTTGCAGCCTCGCATTGCTCTTCCCTGCCAGTGCTCTGCCCGCCTTGTCCTGTTGCTCCCGCTAGCTCCGATGCCCACTCTGGCTTTCATGCGTTTCCTTCCACTGCTTCCTGTCCCTAAACAGCATTCGCTTCCCGTGCATGAGGTACCTCTCCTCTGCTCTTTCCAAATCCCCTGCTCCTGGAATTTGCACTCATGCTCCCCACTCCTTTCCTCTCACTCTGCTTTGGTCTCTTGCGTATCCAAGCTGCTTATTTTAGCATCCTCTTCCCTCTGCTTCTAGTTCCCCTTCTTCCCCATTCTCTTCGTGTTCTGTCTAATACAGACTGCAGGATCTCTCCCCGCCAGGGACTCTCTCTCCATCTTTATATAGTAGCAAAATACTGGCTATTTGTTATGAATAATCTAGGCCAGCAACACATTTGCATTTACAGCACTTACAACCCACCCACCAACATTTTGGTGGCAGGAGTGAGGGATGCTACACTGAAAACAAGGGTAGAATAACGTATTCATTTTTGGTGCACTTTTCCTGGCACCTGGAAAATGTTCAGAGCTGCTATTCCCATGCTGACGTGGGCTGGCTTTGCCCTGGAGTGTCTCCAGGTTGGTACGGGGATGACAATGATGACAAGTGGCCTTCCGTAAGAAGAGCTGGAAAGAAGCATTGCTGAACCAGTGAGTAACAGGGATACTGGGGAGATGCCAGGTTTCACTCGCGTATCCTAACATAAGCAAGAACCAACCCAAGAAAAAGAAACACAAATGCTTTGATTGCCTGATTCTAGGCTTGTCGACAAAGGCAGGCTGCAGCTATGGCAAGGTTGAGGAGAGTGACCAAATGAAGCTATGTCGGGGAATCGCGTGAAGCACTCTGGCCTCAAACTGCCTCCCCGCTTCGTCAGAGGCACCTATTATATCATAAGTACCACGCTAAATGAATCCACGTGCGACTCTGTGCAACTTAACTCAGCACTGCCTCTTTTCTTTCCCAGCTGAAGTCCATCACAAAGGGTGCAGACAGACCTGTCACACTGATCTCTTACCTGGCTGCGGTGGGTGAGGAGGGGGCATCTGGTGATGCATCATGGGGTACGGAGGGGGCTGCTGATGGGGCAGCAAGCCCGGATGCGCGGGTGCCCCAAGTGGGTTCATGCCCGGCCCGCTGGAGTGCTGGTGCGACTGCTGGGCGTTCTGACTGTGCTGCTGCTCCATTTGCTGGCGAGCCCGTAATTCAGCGTATTTCAGCTGCTCCATATGGAAGTTCTGGCGCTCCGTCAGCAGTTGCTGCCTCTGCTGTTCTAGCTACAGTCAAGCCAGGGGAGAAAGAGAGAACACAGCTAAGTTACAATCGAGAAGGTGTAGGAAGGTCACGTCCTCCAGAAATTCTTACAACCAGATGGGAACATCTGTTCAGCCCAGCACTGCTCCCCAGTCAGCGACAGCACATACTATTAATGAGGGGTGTTGCCCGGTGCTACTTGCTGTAGGTAAAATTTACCGTGGTGCTTTTGGCCTCGGCAATGCCACTACAGTTGTCTACAAGATAAACGGTATGAATGGCCAACCTGCACTCATTTCCAAACCTTCACCGGTATCCAGTCACCGCCTTGCACCATGTTCAGAAAGTCACCATGTCCTAACCACATACAACCCGAGGAATCCCCTGTGGAAATCCTTCACCATCAAGTTCTGCCCCCGCAACACACACTACAGGCCCCAGTTCCAGAGTAAGAGCAGCGCATCGCCATGACCCACTTGTCACTGGCTCTGGCTTATACGCGGGGCAGTTTAAGCAGGATGACTCTCCCTTCAACTTCTTTTACCAACAGGTCACTGTGGGAGTTCAGAGGCCAAGCCTTGTAACCCACAACCAAGACACTGAATAAATCTGTTAACTGCAGAACTGGATTCTTACTGCAAGTCCCCTGGTGAGTGTTTCATCATGGTCAGCAAGCCTGGTACATTAAGCCATAACTCGCTTGAAAAATATCCGAGTTGTTTAAAATCAGCAGCATTTAACATACAAAGCATACATCCTTTAGTCTGGTGGAGGTTTACAACAACACTTTTCACCAGAACTATACAAACCCCTTCTGTTCAGGCAGCCATGAAAGAAACTAGTGAAAATGTGGAGAAACTGGATTTGCGGAGAGTTGAGTATGAACTATGCCAGCTGGCAACCTCATTTAAACAGACATCCTCTCTATGCTAACTAGGAAGCAGATCAGAAACCAGTATCAGCCTAGAAGACAGGCAGCTAATACATTCCTCTCCTAATTCCCCTGCAATCTCCATGTGGTTGAATTATGCTCTGTGGATATGAATTGCCTTTGTCTGGATTCTGGCTAAGCCGTCTCTTCCTAGGGAAGGAAGGAAAAAGTGATGGTGGTTATGATTTCTTAAATCAAGTGAAAAAACCCATGGAAGTTAAAAACCCACATTACAAAAAGTTGCATCTCTTCTCTCCAGGCTCGAAGGGGAGTGCTTTAAGCAACAAGCCGTGCTTTGGGGTTTAACACTTTGCTTGCATTCAGAGGCCTTTAATCTTCAGGAGCACCCTTTCACAACACACAAAGACCCCCCAACTCCACCCATGTAGCAGACACTCACCTCCACCACATGCATGAGAACAGCCTTCTGCTACAGAGCAGGCATTCACAAACAGAACCAGATGGGGACACTAATGAATAATGCATAGCTCTTGTTGGGGAATGTTTTTCAGCATGTAATGACCATGACATGTTTATTCACCCTGCTATGATTTCTGTGTCCTTGACCGATTTGACGTTACCAGGAGGAATCTGCTCAAACGAAGGGACAAATACACCAGTGATGTGATGGTGCTTGTGTGAAAGCAGAGCCAAGAGGTGGTAGGCAGTTCACCGCAGAATTATGGCAAGTGCTCCAAGAGCAAGGCTGAATAAAGGGAAGTACTGCTGCAGCACGCTTTTATGTGCTACCATGTCCCCGCCTCTCCATCTTCATGCCATCATCTCGTTACAGTACATCTCAAGAAGGCAATCCAATGGGATGCCATTATGAGTATTCCCACAATGCCAACACATGCCTAAAAATATGCCTGGCCACTAAAAAAAAACCCCAAAAAACAAACTGGTGGGGGAGAGGCAGAGTGCCGTGGCCAGGAATGACAGAAGCTTCTCCACCACATTTACAACTGGAGCAAGGTGTAAAATGTTTTCAAAAAGAGAAGCGATCTAATCCACAGGGATACTGCAAAAAGCAACTGCTGTGTGGATGTATTCTTTACCGCTACAACAGCCGTCACCAGCCCACCCTCTGCTTTCCCCCTCCCTCCGCACTAAAGAATGCATTCATTCATGTGTTACCCCAAAGTCTGGGTCAGCAAGGCTCCTATCTATAGAGCCTCCAGACACGCCATCTGAGCTGACGGTGCTGAAATTGCTTCAGATTACAAATTAAACACAATGCGCAGTGCCTAAAACCCCGTCCCTTCCAGCCCCAAGTGGGGGATGTCTTCCAGCAGTAACAAGTGGGTGACCTTTAACACAGGGCTGCGACAACTTGAGTACAGCTGGAAGGACGTGCACAGAGAGCCCGCAACACCACTCCTGAACTTCTCCTTTTGTTAAATTAATTACTCTGCTAAATATCCAGGATGTCAGGGGAATAAAGCTGCATTTTAGCCACCAGGAGCCAGGGGGCAAGTTTCTACATACATTTTAAAAAGGAAAATGTCATGCGCCTCAGAATGGAGAAAGGGATGTCATTGTAACAGACTACATCCCCCAAAGATAAGGAGATTCACAGAGAGCCTTTTCAACCTAGTTACGGCCATTTCTTGAGCTGCCAATCAGTGTCAGAGGCAGATGCCACGCTGGAACAGCAGAGGAAGCCGAGCAAAGAGGAAACCCTTGTTGACATTCAGTTGTGATAAGAGACCAGTTTGTCAAACCCCATCAGTCTGATTAATGCCAGGACAAGGATGTAAATTCCATTAACTCTATTAGGATGAGTAGGAAAAACCCAGAATTATGTGTCAGTATCTCATCTTGCCACCATCCTCTGCACGAGAGGGACAGCAAACGAATCCACGGGGGTATGGAAAAGGCAACGAGTCCCTGAAGAAACATTTTATTTTGGGCTCATTGCCGTAGTTAGGAGGACACAAGGTCTCATCTGGAAAAACAGTCAACAAATGAATCAAAGCTTGGCTCAGCAAACACCACAGCCACCAGTGACAAATCTGCACGCATTGCACCTCCTCTGTTGTATTCCCGATTTTGAACGCGTACCAGGGGCTGGTAAAGTAGTCGCTGACAGCGAAATGGAGCGACTGAAGAAACCAAGAATGGCTGATGCCCTTGCCGTTCACTTGTTTTAGGATCTCTGCATTTGTGCTGGGAAGAACCCAAGGCCCTTCCCAAGACCAAAACAAAAGCACAGGGTCTTTTACTCGAAGGGGCTCTCCCTCCCCTCCACTGACCTCCTCCCCCCACATCTGTCTTCTTGGCCCCTCTCCCTTATCCCATTGCTCTTTCTTCTTCTGTCCCCTTTAACCAACTGCTTCCCCATCACATCCCAATTCTTGCCATCACTGTAACCTCCTTTGGTTTTCCCTCCTCTTAGAGCCGCACTTTCACCCTGCAGCTCAGAGGTATGTAATCTGCCCAGGGAGCTCTACAGGTTAAGGCACCTGACTATCCCCAAAGGACAGCACCTGCGCTGGGAGGGCACTCCAGGTTGAGCAAACACACACAGAAAGTGCTGAGCAGGAGACGCAGGCTCCTGGGAGCTGTGGAGGCAACTTTTTCCAGGAACAGGAACAGAAAAAGACCAACCAGGTTAAAAATATAACTTTGGACAGAAACCAAAGTAAAAAAGAAGAGGCAGAGGGTTGGTTTCTCTAAAGCCCATACCCAAGCTAGATGTCAGAAGCTGTTCCCCATCCTGTTCTCTTTGGATAACGGTATCTATTCTTGACTCAGATATTGGTTACCGCTCAACTGTAGCCTCCCCAGAGCACCAGTGGGCCGTAACCCCATGTCCGAACACAGCTGTGGGTGAGGGGAACAGACGGTACTAATTTGGGATAGAAAAGAGATTCTAGAGGCACATATCTGAGAGGCAAATTAAATCACAGGGTCATTGGAAAGTAAGGCTGGAAGGGGAAGGGACCTCTTGAGGTCATCTAGTCCAACCCCCTGCTCAAGCCAGGATCATCCCCGACTAAACCATCCCAGCCAAGTGTCTGTCCAACCTGCTCTCGAAAAACCTGCCAGGGACGGACACTCCATAGTTCCTCTGGGAACCTGTTCCAACCCCTGACCACCTTCAGAGCCAAAGTTTCTCCTCATCTCCAGACAAATTTCCCCCGTGAAACATGAGGAGGGATCTGTTAATGACCCAACTGTCCTTACAACACAGATCTCTTCAGCCAATGGTTCTGCTCTAGGATATGGGAGACAACATCTCCTGCACTTACAGCTTCTTTCTCTCTGTCCATGATCGTTTCCAGCTCCTCAAAATGACGAAGCTTGATCTCCAGTTTCTTCATTTGTGTTTCCACCAGGAGGGCTACCAAAGATTTGATCTTTCTCTCTTCCACTGCTGCCAGGTGCTGAGGGTAAAACATACAAAGTTTAGCCATACACGCATCTGTTACAGAAGGGAGTTACAGAATTAAATAACCACATATGAACCGGTGCCTGCGTTCCAACGTTTGTTCACTTTTGTCAAACATCTATTTGTTATTCACTTTCAATCTTTTAAGTTCAGAAGGACGATCAACAATCATCCTACGCCTTCAGGACTTTTTAGTCAAAGCAGATAGATACTAGGCTCTCGCACGAAGAGTACTGCCCCTCGGCAGGGTCATGTTACTTCAAGCCTTTCAGCATTGTGAGTAAGTGGCACAGAGGTATTATAATGTGGGGAAAAGAAACTAGGTCTAAGGTTAGCAGGTTCTGGTAGCTGAGGAACGCGCATCATCTAAAACAGATCTCATTAATGATGTCTACTGCATGGAACAACACATACAGGAGGGCTAAGTAGTGACTGGAGGCATGCAACAGCCATTGTAGAGATCTTTGCTCAGCTGGATTTGAAATCATATAACTAGTTAAAAATGGACCCCATTACAGCATCCTACAGCAGTCAAGTAAAGATTTATGTTGTTCCCAATGTAGTCATTCTGCTTCAGCCTAGGAGAGAATCTACCCAGCCTGACTCTCTGCCTAATACGCTTTCAAAGTATCCATAAAAGAAACCCCCGTTTTCCTTTATAACCAGTTATCACAGCAGTCCCATTTTATGAAAAGCTAAAAGCAAGGCTACATTCAAAATGTAAGAGAGCAAAAAATAGACTACAGACAAAACCAACCAGCCTCAAAGATCCCCCACAAGGTTTATCTTTACTACTGCAGATAATCATATGCATGTCTGAAGAGGATTAATCATTTAAATAAATGATATCTAAATGAGACAGTCATTAAATACAACGACATTGTCTGCCTTTTACTTGTAAAATGCTCTAGTATTTTAAGTTTCAACCATGAAGGGAAAAGGAAGAATGAGTTCTTAAATGGCAAAATGTACTAGCCACCATCACATCTCTGTTCAGAAACAAAATGCAGAATTCAGCAAAGCCGACTGTTTGGTTTGTACAGCTGAGCCAGGGAACAGTGTCTGAAACCTTATTTTCTGGTGTGGTCACGATTAGGTACGATGTGGTAGCACCATGATGCTTGTACACTTTTGGGGAGAAAATAGGTTGGGTTTGCTGAACACGCACTTCCAGCAGACCATGACAGAGAGTAAAAGTCATACTACAAGAAAAGGGTTCAGTGGCCTTAGCACAGGAATCAAGCGCTTCCAACACTGCCTGAGTGTGCAGTTTGGGTCTACTTACTTCACTTCCCCATGCCTTAGTTTTCCAAACTGTAATGTGGGATCAAGAATTAAATCAATCATAGAACATTTGAAAAGTGCCAAGCATATTTGGGGAGGGGGAGTCAATGTGCATTCATCAGGAAGGGGAATGTTAAAGAGCAACAAAGTAAATTGGACACTTAAAAACAGCAGATCCAGAAAACTTGTATTCAGGAGCTTCAAAAAAAAGTCAGCCAAGAAGCTCTCTGGATCGTTAATGTTGATTTTGCAAAGCCTTGGAAGACTGGGCAAAGTTCCAGAGGACTAGGAAATAAAAGTAGGTTATGGCAGTATTTCAAAAGGTAAATGGGATGACCTGTCTAATTATAGGCCAAACAACCAACCAGCCGTTTGGGAGAAGGTAAGAGAATGGCTGATAAGACTCTTTATTAATGGAGTTAGGGGGCGGTAATACAATCCATGCCAATCAACATGGGCTTACAGAAAACAGTTCTTATCAAACTAGCCTGGTATTTTAGGAGGGTCCAAAAGTTTGGCTGATAAGAGGCAGTGCAGTCTATGTAAACCTGGCCTTTTGTCGAGCATTTCCCTGGGTACCACAGAGCATTTGAAAGGAAACTGGACCCATGTAGAAATCAACATGGTACGCATCAAAAGGATGAACGTGGTCAATTAGTCTCAAAATAAAACTGTAATAAGAAAACAGCACATAGCAGGCGCTCTTCAAGAAGGACCCAAAGGAACTGGTTCTCAGCCTTATTTTGCATAATACCCCAACATGCCTAGAAGGGAGGAGGAAGGGATGCATATCACTACTGACAAGTTTTGCCACTGCCAAACACTGAGAGGATGCTAAGCAAGTAGAAGAACAGGACACCGATTTAGCGATCTGGCTTACTTGGTGGGCTGGTACGAGACAACGATGTGCGTGTTAATAAAGCTAAACCTGAAATCATGCACCTCGGATAAACGAATGCAGGTCACTTACAGGACAGGAGACCTAATCTTGGAAGTGGTGACTCAGAGACGTGGGGATCGTGTTCAGATGCTTATCCCTCCTGACTTCCAGCACATGGCCACGATCAGAAGGGCTAAAGCAATTCTTAGATGTATAAACAGGAGACTCTCGAGGAGTAGTGTGGTAACAGCTCTATTTGACACCAGCTCAACCATTACTGCAATACTTTTGGAGCATATAGTTGAAAGATGTCAATAAATTGGGGAAAGTTAAGAGAAGAGACATGAGAATAATGAGAGGACTGGAAAACATCCTTTATAGTGAACGCACAGGGAGCTCACTCTATTGAGCTTATCAGAAGAAGATTAATGGATGACTATCATGGTCTATAAATACTTTGTGCATTAGTCAATCGCGGGAGGAGTGCGAGTGACTGTAATGATGCAGCCAAGAGAAAGGTAAATACACTCCTAGGATGGAGCAGGAGAAAGATTTCCAGGAGAGTAGTAATACTACTGTACAAAGAACTGGTAAAACCTGCCCTGGAATGTGTGTACAACTCTGGTCACCTACATTTAACAGATGAACTGGACCCGGAGCAGATGCACAGGAGGGTCACTAGGGCGATTAAGCTAATGGAGCATCTCCCTTCCCAGTGGAGACCTGAAGAGCTTGGCTTTGTTTAACCTAGCAAAACAAAGGCCAACTGCGGACACATGCCTCCCCACGAACAGATCAGGTTAAATAGAGAGAGAAGAGCTGCTGAAGCTAAAAGGACAATGATGGCACAAGAAAAAGTGGGTGTGAACTGGACGTGGGTAAAAATAGGTTGGAAGTTGGATAGCTGCCTTTCAAGAGGAGCAGAGGGACCGAGAAGCCTCGCCACAGCCTTTAAGGGAGAACTCAGTGGGGTTATGAAAGGGATCACATGAATAGCTGAGAACTAGGCTGCCAGCAAGTTCCCCAAATAGGTGCTGTAGGAACTCAGGACTGGAGGGAACAAATCTGCTGATAGAAAACTTTTGAGTCTGGGAGACAAAGGAATGACAAGATCCTATTAGGCCGAAGTAAGACAAAAATCAGACTAGAAATAAAGCACTGACTTAGGGAGTAATATACCACTTGCTATGGCACTGATTCTCAACCAAGGTGCCGTGGCACTCCGGGGTACCTTGAGATCCTTTCCAGTGTGTCATAGGGTACAAGGCTGGGTGTGCAAACATGATGCACAAGATAAACCTGGTTTTCAAATTGTTTTTAACATTATGGATTTCTTTCTGCCTTGTTGTGAGCTTCTCAAGCTCTTTGCAACAGAAAAATGGGTCTCATTTTTCTGTAGTCAAAAACCGAGCGAAAACTAAGAGCTGCATTTTCCAAGGGGGGCCTTGAGGCTGTCAAGGTTGAGGACCACTGGGCAAAGGGCTGTGGTGGATTCTGCATCACTGGCAGTTTTCTATTAAAGTCCGATTGTTTCCGCCCCCTCCACCCTGTTCCAAGATCTTCTTTAGTTCAACCCTAAACAATTGGACTTGGAACAAAAATGAAACCTGATCCCGTGTCATGCAAGAGCATGAGCCAGATGAGCACAATGGGCCCTTCTGGCCTTATTATCCATGGATCAGCAGCCTTTCTGGAGGCTGCTTTGCTCAATCGCATGACCCAGTAAAGGGCACTAAAACTATGTGCAGGAAAAGGGCATCCACAGAAGAAAGATGCTGAAAGGGATTCCCTAGGTCTCCCTTTAGGTGCATTTCTTTATGGCAAGGAAAAAAAAAAAAGATCGATTTAGTCATCTAGCGTGAGGAAGGAGAATGATGTAAAGGGGGCGTATCGCAAGCAAGAACACACTAGTACTCTGCATTTAACAGTCTTTCCCCAAAGGAATTTAAAATACTCACAAACTGCCTGTGTGGATTATAAACCCTAGTCCACAGATAGGAAACAGTAGCGAAGATGTGAAAGAACTAGCCCAAATTCAAACAAGGCATTCACAGATGTGGGAACAGAAGCTGTGTCCCTAATGACCTGCCCCAGCCAAACACCAGATTAGCCCAAAGAGGGGGAAAAAATAAAAAATTCTCCCATTCACCAGCCTACATCCCCAAAAAGCCCCTGCAAGACTCCTTTGACACAAGGAGGTTTTCTAATGCAACACTTGCAGTTTCATACAACTTTTTATAGGAACAGCTAGTAAACTGGGGTTTAACAGAGCTGAGGTTACTCCAGCACACATACACAGCCTGGCTCCCTAAAGAGCTTAAATCCGCCTGGATGTTTAGGGCAAATGGGAAGAGAAGTCCTCATTGCACTGCAATGCTACTTTACAGTGCAAAGGCCCTAATTACAATGTGGATTCTCTCTCATTATATATACACGTGTGTGTGTAAACATATATAAATATATCACACGTATATAAATGTGTGTACGTATACATATATAGACACAGACACACAGAGATATACACAAATATAAAATATGGCGTGCATGTGTACATACACACTTTTATATATACATAAAGTATGGGGGGTGTATACACACACATATATATTATATATACAGACATGCATTTTACACACACACTATATATATATATATAGTATATATATATGACATAGGCAGACAAGGTTCCTTGGGTGAATTTGATATCTTTTATTAGACCCACCCAAATAGTTGGAGAAAAGTTATTAAGCAAGCTTTCAGGTTCAAAACCCTTCGTCAGGCTAAGGAAGTCTCAGCAGTCGGTGTTTGCATTTCCTGGATGGAATGAAAAA